GGTCTGTTTTCCCTCCTGTGTAGCTTCGGTTACCCAGAGCTGGGTCATGACTGTCCCATTTGGACAAGCCATCTGCTATCCATATTGCTGCATGCCAACCCCTTTACATTTTGTCGTATCCCTGGCCCACACAACTCGTTGGAGTTTGCAAACCTGTCCCTACATTCTGTGCCTTCAGGGCACTTGCCCAAGTGACTTCCACAGATCCCAAAATCACATTTTCAGTGAGCAGATGACAGAGGGAAAAATGCTCCCCTGAGATTGCTTATCCACCAAACACGTGAAAGAAACAGAAGAAAATAGACAGATGATCCCAGGAATAGGCCCTGAGGATAGGAAGACCATCAGACCCATGCAAACAGTGGCGACCTTAGGTGGGTCACCACCTAAGGACTGGGCTAAGAAAGGACCTCCCCAGTGAGGGAACTGGAGGTCCTCAGGCCATCACAGGTGTGCCATCCCTTGTTCCCTGTCTGTAACCCAGCAGCTGACTTCATGCTGTGCTTAGGAAAGGAGGTCTGTAAGGGGTCAGAGTTCAACCCACCTGCCTGGAGCTGTGCTTTGGACTACAGACAGAATCACTCCCATTTCGATTGCAGGCTGAGGACCACAGCCACAGAAGTCAGAATTCTAAATCAATACACCCTCAATGTGCTATATATTCCCTAGGGATCAGTCCCCTTCCCATCAAAATGGGACTGGCGAATGTGACAGACAGCACTATTCTGATAGGTTACATTATTTGTAATGTAACCTTCTAGGATGAAGGGGTTTTGCAGATAATATTAAAGTTCCTAATAAATATGACTTTGAGTTAATCTTAAAAGGAGATCATTATGGGTGGGTCTACTGTTTAAAAGGGGGTCTTTGGTTTTGCCAAGACCTTTCTCCTGCTGACCTTGGACAGGCAAGTCACTGTAAGTTCTAGAGCTTCCAGGAACTGAATTCTACCTACACACTGAGCTCAGAGGACAACGCTGAGCCTCTCATGGCACACCAACCCCAGTCAGCACTTTGATGACAGTCTTTGATGACCCTGAGCAGAGAATCCAGATTAGCGATGGCTGGACGGACTCCTGACCTCACCCACTGGGAGATGACAAATGTGTGTGTTGTTCTAAGCTGCTAAATATGTGATACACTCATGTACCTCCTAAAAATGGGATAGGCTCTGATGAATGTGTTATTAGTCAATTTTTATCATTGTGAAAACATTGGAGCAGGTACTTAAAGGAACCTGGATGGTGTAGGGAGATTACTCAGGGTGGCCCTTTGATGCAAACCGAAGGTGCACTAAGCATGAGATGTACAAGACGACAGCTGGTATAATACTGCAGTTCTGCTTCACGGTAAACGTTTTCTTGTAAGGAGAAGGAAGACATACTTAAACAACAATAAAAGTATAGTAAATAGCCTGGTAGTGTAGTCCCTTGTCATTATCAAACTTGACACCCTGTGCACCATTGTGGTTCTTTGTTTTTACACAACTGGCCTCACAGTACTTTTCTGTTTCCCCCTAAATTCATGAGGGCTATGGCATCACTAAGTGATAGGAGTTTTTCAGCTCCTTTACCATTTTATGGGTAAAGGACGTGGTACCTTGACTGAAATGCCAGTCATTTGTTATGCAGCCTTAAATGACTAAAAGTGAAGAAAAGGAAAAGGTACAAACAAAGGGGAAGGACATAGGTTTGCCTGGAATCTTCATGAATGATTGAGAAAAGGGAGGTTAAGAGAGGGGCCTACGACACACCAGGAAGAATTGTTCTGGGCATTCCAAATGGATGATTCCATTGAAACCTCCCAACCCTTCTGGGAAATAATTCTATCTCCATTCTATAGACAAAAAATGCCACGTGTTAGATAACTCACTCCAGAGTACAGGGCACCCAGATTCAAAGGAAGATCCTCCACACACTGGAGGCTCATGACTGCCCTCTGTGCCACAGCAAAGGCTCCCTCCAGTCCTCAGAAGAGAAGGGTCACGATGGCAAGGCCTGGGAGAAATACTTCCGAGGTGGTCCAATTGCAGGACAGAGCCTGGCTGCATTAGCATGTGCTATGCCCGAAGTGTAGCAGTTTGAGAACTCTGTTCTCTTGGGGAACATCCTTTCCAAATTCTACCAAAAAAATAAAAAATAAAATTAAAAAGTAATCTTAAAAATGCTTGACTAAAGAGGGCAAAGGATGAGCTTCTATATGAGCATATTTGTATCCATAGATATTCCAAGCTATTGGGGAAAAAAAAATCCCAGAGGACAGATGTCAGCAACTCCACACTCTGATGGGAAAATTGAAGAGGACTGTGGTTACCAGTATTTCTCAAACACTTCCCCCACCCCACCCCACCCCCCCAAAAAAAAGAAGAGAGAAAAGAAACTACTCCCCTCCACAGACATACATATGCCCACAGACTCACTCTCTCCCTCCCTCTCCAATCCCCCGCCCAGTCCCTTGCAGCCCAACAGAGAGAAAACAGCTTCCTCCCCTCAGCTCTTCTAGGTCATGTAGACCCTTACATTCAATGTTGGCTTCAGCTAACTTCATTCCAACTTTCACTGAAAAAAATAATTCTCTGCCAAGTTGCCATTATCTCTACTCGGCCCCCAAAGCGTTCAGGATAAAAATCTGTTTAGATTTTTTTTCCCCCTTTTCTTTCTTTTTTATGTTGCTCAAAATAGTTTTCTCTCCTCGAGACAATTTTACAATATTCTTTATCCTTACTTAACTCTTTTCTCCAGAGTACTCACCCTGGGAGACACACCTCTCAAAACTTTCTCCTAGGCTTCTGGGCACCTCCATTCCCAAACCTCCCTCTGCTTTACCTCTTCTCATTGGACACCGGGAGGCCAGGGTTTGACTGAGGACAGGGAGATGCTGAGAAGAAAAAAAATAAGTCTCATACAGAAGAAGGTACCTGCCCCATGTTCACATATCCTAATTCCAGGCATCTGTGATTATGCTGCATTACATGGCAAAGGAAGAATTCAAGTAGTAGAAGGAAATGAAGGTGGATAATCAGCTGACCTTACAATAGCATTTATCCTTATAGTAAAGTTAATGTGGAGGAGGGGTGCAGAATTTGGGGGCAGGAGTGAATGTTAAAATGTGATCAGGACTTGACACAACATTACTGGCTTTGAAGATGGGAAAAAAAAGGGCTACCCGCCAAAGAATGTGGGTGGCCTCTAGAAGCTGGAAAGGAAAAGAAAATGGATTGTCCCCTAGAGCCTCAAGGAAGTAATGCAGCTGCCAACACCTTGATCTCAACCCAGTGAGACCCATTTCCGACGTCTGACCTGCAGAACTGCAAGACAATAAATTTGTGTTGTGTTAAGCCACTAAATTCATGGAAACGTTACAACAGAAATAGGGAAGTCATATACTTGGTGGAGGAATGTTGCATGATCACTGTGATGCTTCCACACACCTGGTCAGCCTGTGAATTGGTCTCACCACCCAGGACGCTCTTCCCTGGAGGAACTTGGGTGGGACAACTCCATCTCCTCTCTGACAGATCCAGAAGAAAATTTCCTATTCCAGAAAATCTTATTTACGCCAACAACCTGGTCAGATGCAAAGAGTGAACGAAAGGTCTAACCATCTGAATGTGTCTTCAACAAAAGAAGTAGGGGGGACAAAGGCCAGACTTAGGGAATAAGAGATTGTCCTCATGAGTTATTGTCATATTAGGTCTCCATCTATCACTGACTGGTCTTTCAAGGATTCAGAGATCTGAGACATAGGTAAGCATGTATGGAATAAGTAAATAGGTCATACCTGGGGGACCACGTGCTTATGAGGTGGCAAATGAATTAAAACCTAGTTCTTTAAAAACACCCAGTTTGTTTTTATTTCTGTATGCCACCACTAAGTCTGATTCTTGAGAGTAGGGTCTTTGTTTGATTACTGATGAGCTTTAACACTTGGACCATTCTAGATGCTCAGTAACTCCGTGTTTGATGCTCAATGGATTTTTCTTTTACCTAACGGAGAGACTCGCTCTCAGGAAAAGCCTTGGAGCCTTTCCAAACTAAGCCCAGCCAGAGCCCCTCCCTCCTTAAGTCCACCCTTTTGAGTCCAATAGGGCATATATCTTCCCCGGTCCTGAGAAGGGTCGGGGAGCATTGGGTCCCCCATAGGATCTCCAGACACACTGAGTTAGATACGTCCCCAAAGAAAGCATTTAAAAAAAAAAAAAAAAAAAGATAGAAATTTTTCATTTTCTCCGTGGAAATGTATCCAGATCTGATATTGGAGCAGCGAAATGTATGATGGACGGTCTTTTCCTGCGCTCTGAGCCCCTCCAACAGAGAAGAAAGTAGACACTCTAGTCCGTTGCAAACTTTGCTTCTTTGCAAGGGGTCCAGCTTATTTCCAACGCGCCCAGTGTGACTGTCCCAGTGTGCGCTCACATCCTTTCCCCCAGCCTTTGCAGGCGGCTGGCAGGAGATCCCAGCCGCGCGTCCCTCCGCGCAGACAGAAAACCGGAGAAGCCCGGGGAAAGCCCAGGCGGGGCACGCCATCCCCGGGCCAGGGAAGCTCCCAGAGCAGCAGCACTGCGCACCACCTGCAAGCCCCCGTGGTGTCGCAACCCTTCCTTCTGTCCTAGGGGCTTCAGCTCCTCAGCTCTGTCCCCTGGCCGAGATTCACGACCCCCGGGCCCTGCCTCCTGCTCTCTGCGCCAGGACGGCCGCTCAGCCCACTGCAAAGAGTTAAGACCCAGCTGCCGAGACACCCCTGGCGGCTCCAGGTCCCCAGGCCCCGCTCATCGCTCCTGATTGGCTGAGCGCCTGTCAGTAGTAAAGAGTATCAGATAACAAACTTGGGACCTTCATAAAGGCGTGGTGGTGATACTCCGCAATCGCTGGCAGCCTATGACATCAGCCAGGAACGCTGGGATGCCGCAGCTCTTGGCCAGCCTCAGAGGAGGAGGAGGAGGAGGAGGGTCCTGCCGGCTAAGAGTTAATTAGCCCCGCACAGCGAAGGGGGGAGGCGCCAGTTTCCTGGGGACACTGGCTGCCACTGTACGTACTCCTACCCAGGGGAGCTCACAGAGAGTTGGATGAATTCTGAGTTGTTAGCTGCGGTCAGCTGGGCTCCCGGGAGCCTGTTCCTGGTGGAAAACAGGGGGCGCCTGGCACAGGGACCAGCGGCTTGCTGAGAGATTCAACATGACACTTCTGGGGTCTGAGCATTCTTTGCTGATTAGAAGCAAGTTCAGATCAGGTAGGGCGAAGGCACTTAGCCTTCCTTCTCAAACTTTTCCTCTTCTGCAATTCTTAATTCTAGAACTGCTTTCCAATAAATGACTAAAGCCTATCGTGGTGACAACTCTGTCCCCCCACCCCCAAAGCACATTTTTGGAAGCAAAGAATTTTACTTGACTTTGGGGGCTTGAATGTCTTTAAGTTTCAAATGCTTTGAGTTGTTGAGTGTGGGTTTTGTTTCTGAATAGGCCAATCCTCGTATTATTTTCTTATTATTTTGTCTGTATATCTGTGAATAGAAATTTCGGAGGGGTAAAATCCAAAAGGAGCAACTTTGAAATGAACAAATAAGGGATTTCAAGTTTGGGAACTGCGTAATATCAGTTAATAATGGCTGAGAAGATGGACCTGATGTTGTGTATTAGGTACAGGGGTCACTTAAAAATGTAGCTTATCCAAACAAATGTATTTCCCAAAAAAAGTCACTTGGGGGAAGTAAAAATAGCAAATTTGGAGCACACCAAGAATTTAAAATGACATCACTGTAGGGGGAAAAAAAAAACAGTCCAGTGCCACAAATATTTTTTCCCAAACCATCTGATATTTATAAATGGAGAATTTTCCCCAAAATTTCTGTGTTAGTGGTGTACAGAGAAACTTCTCAAAGGACTCTGAGGACAGGTGAGTCAAAGGGAGAGATGGGAACTCTATTTGCTCTTTATGAAGGGTTGGTGCAGGTGTCCACTGAAGATATCATTGTGTGGGTTCCCACATTTAGACGGGACAACACTTGGCCGTTTAAGCTCTTCAGTATCTCTGTGTATATTATTGGTTTTATAATAGTGGTAACAAGCCACGCAAAACACCTACTTCGAAGATGGGTTGCTTTTCTGAGAGTTCTGATGTGAACATTGGATGTGACAGGTGTCAGCAAGATGCTGCATCATTTGCTAAGCTACATTTTCCTTGTCCCTCTGAAGAGGGCCAGTCAATTGTTTCATTGGGGATGGATGGTTCAAAAATAAGAAAAGTGAATGCTGGGAGGTAAGAATTATTCCATCAGTAACTTCCCTCGCTGCTCCCTGTTTTTAGACATCTGTGGGTTCCGCTGGAGGTTATCTGAGGATGGACACTATTGAAGCAAGTTGTAAATTCAAGAGTTTAAGTGGCCACAAGCCACAGTGCCCCCTGAAGCCCCAGGGCTAGTCTGCCAGCCACCAGTCACAAAGGGCCAACAGTGGATTAAATCCTTCCTTTCCTTTCCATGTTGAGGTGAGGCCCTTGGTTTGTCAATCAGCCAGAGAAACCTCACCACTACTTAGTAATTTGTTCAAAACTGCAAGGCAACACTGCCACCTTTCTGAAGAAGAGAGGATATAGATTTGTTTTGTACGAAGCTGCGTTCATTTCAAACACTCCTGTGCCGGTTTAAGGCAGGAGGGGGGGGGAGGGCTGGTTTCTCTCTAAAAGGATTTGGTGATGTTCTTGATAGTAGACATGCAAAACAGAACTCCCAAAGGAGTCCTTCTTTCAGCTGAAGTGCTGAAGAGAGGAAAGACTGAATTTGCACTGCCCCCAATTCCCATTGCAGTGGATTTGTGAAGTCTTGGGATATCCTAGGTCAATCCCACAGACCCTAATCTTGTACCTTCAGAGAATTTCAGCCTCACTTATTTTTTTTTTAAGTTTGTATAGGCCTTTGTGTCATAAGGAAGGGTAATTCTTGGAAAACATGATATAGAAGCAGAAGCAGCTGAGCTTAATCCTCCATCTTTGATAAACAGGGAGGCTGGCATCTGGAAATGGGCAAAGGGGCTGGGTCATCTAGTCACAAGTGCTGACACTCTTAAAAGAAAAGAGAAAACAAGCAGCATGGGAGACTTAGAAAATATAACACTGAAGATGAGGATGACGGTTCTTTCTGGATATAGTTAGAACAATAGCTGTATAGCCACTGAGATCGCTAATAAGAAGGCCTGTTGTCTAAAAGAACTTGCTCACTTAGTGGCTAATAGTAAATAAGGGGACTCCTCTTCATTTTGATTTCTCCTTCTGTCTTCCTCCTCCTGCTTTTCTTTCTCGAGCAATTCAAACTGTAAATTCATAAAAGTTTCTATCAATACTACAAATATTTGCTTCAATCGTAGCTCTATAATATTACGTATTTTAGAAAAAAAATGTTTCAAAACTAAGTGCAATGAAATTGATTTCTGATTATAATCATGGGCTCCCTGTGATAAGGGCTTGTTCGTAAGTAAGCAAATAATTTCTTTCATTTTGAAATTGACAGGGATGGCAACAGCATCCTATCAACTTTCCAAATATTAAATTCTAGTGACCTAGTGATTTAGTATAAAATCATACCACAGGCTCAGTGAACTTGGAAAGTTTTACATTTGCAATCAAGTTTAGTGATACAAACTCGTCTTATTTGCGAGGGTGTCATGGTTGAGTGTGTGAATCTTGGGCCAGACTATCGGGGGTTTTGGCAGTCGCCTCAGCTACTAGCCGTATGACCTTGAACTTTGGGTAAATTGCATAATTTTCTATGCTTTAACTTGCGTCATCTGAATAATGAGGATGATTATATGGTTGTGCGAATTAAATGTGATAATACAAATAGGTCGCTTAGAATGATGCTCAGTGCTTAGTAAGCCCTCACAAAATAGTATTTTGTTGTTGTTAATATTAAGGGGCAGTGAGATCCTCTGTTGATGACTTTCTCGCTCTGGATTGTGGTTACTTAACCCACAGATGTCCAAGTTAAATAGATGATTTCTCAGACCCCTCTGGGATCATTGTAGAGTTCTCGGAAGATGTATAAAGACAGTCTGGAAAAAAGTGAAATTGTGATTGGGTTGTATTGCGGCTGGGCAAAAATTATAGGCAGTTTACCTAAATGTAAAAATTAGATTTGCTTTTAAACTGACCACATATTGCATGTTTTAATCTTCTCACTGGCTGTCATTTTTTCAAAGTCTGTAATCAGTATGACTGTGAACGGTTTTCTTTAATATCAGTCCTTGTGTCCTATGAAACGCAAGGGCATGTATACACACACACACACACACACACACACACACACCGAACAAAAATAGAGAGAGATTCATTGATAAATGTTTCTTTTCCTCTTGTCTTCCTTGTGCCCAAAGACAAATTCTGCCACCTCCTATTCTCTTGTCCTATCCCCTAGAATTGTAGGATTGTCAGAATTAGCAAGTAAAAATACAGAATGCCCAGTCTGGATTGAATTGGAGACAAATACTCAGTTATGTAGCAATATTTGGGACATACTTATACCTGAAATTCAAATCTCACTGGGCATTCAGTATTCCTTTTGGAAACCCTACCTGCAATCTAAGCAGTCTTTGATACTCTCTGTTGTCTTATCCTATATTCCATAAACCTCTTAAGATTCCGGGTCTCTGAACATTCCCTAGAATTGCAAAACTTGTATATTAAACATTCCCTGGAATTGCAAAACTTGTATATTCAGCAAGACGGCTCAGAACAGGGAAGGGGTACCAGGAGAAGGAGCCATGGGCCCTGTGGGGTAGAACCAGCATATGGAGTGAGGACAACCACAGGAGCTTTTGGCTTTCTGTCAAGGAGGACGATAAGCTCGGTGGGCAGCTGGTGCTCAGGCAGCAGGGGCTCCAGAAATGAAAATTGGGCTCAAGGAACAGGCAAAGCAAGCAGGCGAGCTGCAGGGGGTAACTCAGCCGAATAGCCGGGGGGCACCGAGGCTCTGTGTTCTTCTACCCCAAGGATTCCAAAATCAGGCCTCCAGTGCCCATACTTGGTGGCTAGTCCTTCTAGAGAAAGCAAGGAACTTCTCAGCAGGATCTGGCATCACCTGCTCTGTCCTTTCCCTATTCTCAAAGCCTCAGGTAACTTAAAAGGTCAACTGAGTCCTACTTTACGCTAGATCCTTGCTCTGCAACTGAATTTTCTCTTGGGAATTGAGGCAGTTAGATGGTGATGTTGATCTTCAATTTTTAACAAAATATACACTATTGAAAAACTTCGACCATGAGCTAAAAGAAGCCCAGGCCCTGGAATTACCTTCACCTTTAGTTAGTTTTATAACCTAGAACAAATAATTTAACCTAGAAGCATTCCTTTTCCATAACATCTAATATATATGCTACATGCAACAAGCATGTAAATATATCTAATTAATCGATCGCTTCAGATCTCATTTTTGTCATCTACCAAATAGAGGATTTTTCACTGATTCATCTCCGAAGCTGTGAACAGCCCTAAGATTTCCTATTTTTTTAAGTGAACGACCCTAACTATTTTTGCAAGGCTTTAAACAGCATAAGGTTGATTAAAAAGCATTACCCTATGAGAATATAATTAGCTGGACCTAAAAAGGTGAACTATATTTTAATTTCTAAATGGGGATTTAAAATATTTTTTTAAGCTGAAGAAACATTCAAGGTCTGGCTCAAATCATCTCCTTGAGACCATCCTCAAGTCTTATCATATCAAATTTACTCATGGAGCCCGGGCTCTTGCCTCACATCGTAGTTACTGCAGCACGAGCTCCCACCCCCCACTTTCCCTGCCCTATTTTTATCCACAGCGCTTATCACTATTGAGCAGTCTGCTTGTTTATTTGTTTATCATTTGTCCACGAGGGTAGAAATTTTTTACTTCTTTGTCATTCACTGCTTTTATTCTCCAGCCCCTAGAACTTGTGCTTGGACAGAGAAGGCACCATTAAACATCTGTTAAGGAATGAGGAGTAGCTCAGTGGTCCAGCATGTGCTTAGCATGCATGCAGCCCTGGGTTTGAAAACCAGCACTGAAAAAAAAAAAGTGTCCAGTAAAATATCTTATTCTTTCTCCAAAGATTACTCAGAAACAGAGTAAATAATATGTGTATGCTTTTAGGCATACAAATGGTTGTTAAAACTGGGGGGGGGGGGGGGGGAAGGACAGTAGTGAGTATCAATACACAATTCTGAGCAGTAGTTATATCCAAAGAAGGATGAGTGAATGTAAATGCAA